CATCTTGAGCGTCTAAAAACGAATCATCTTAAACAACTTCACCAAGTACTATCATAATTTAAGCATGACAACAGCTTATGTATTATCTCATATAACCCATGGAATATGCAGTAGATTAGCATAAAATATTTAAGGATATAATAAATTTTTGATAATCTTGTTGTGTCCTGGCGTAATTACAAAATATTCAATAATGAAAAACTAGTACGGGGTAAATTTTTTTAACAGTCAAACAGTCAAAGAATGTTTACTATACAACCAAAAAATTAAAATAAATAACACCGTCGAATTTGTATAAATATCTTTAACCAAAAGGTTCGCGAAAAACTCATTAGTCTACCCGTAAAAAAGGTTATACCATCTTAGGAACCTGCTCATTTTACGCAACCTTCCCCTATTTAATTTGCACAGCTATTGTATTATTAATTTACATAACTAAATATAATCCTGTTATGTTGCATTATCCCCATAGTAGAACTTTGAAAAAAAAAAACGAATTACTATTACATTCGCGAGCTCAGTGTAAACAGGCCTTAAAAGTTAGAAAATATATATCAGTGATAGTAATAGCGAGCCAATGATAATAGTTACTATTATATTAAATTTTAAATTATTTAAAAAAAAAGCTTTGATTTAAATTAAATTTTAATTAAGTATGAATATATTAAGAAAAAAAAGCAAAAAACATGTTTGCATTTTTGTAATGTTCTAAAATCAAAGTAAGCTTTTTGATAGGTCTTATGTAGTTGCTCTTATTGCATGTAGTATTGCAATTTTAAAATGCGGTGGCGGTGTCGTGGTAGAGCGCTTGCTTCAAAAACGAGAAGTCCCGAGTTCAATTCCCCCCACGTCCCTGGATGTACCGCGCTCAACTTGTTTCTCCGCGCAGCGGACTTGTTCGTCAAGGTTAGAGTTTCGGAGTTATAGAGTTGAGAGAGGGTTGTAACCTCAATTTAAGCAGCCTTCCTGATTGTAGTAGTCTTCATAACTATAAGAAGTGAATTAACATTAAAAAAAGTTAATAAAAAGCACTTGAATAGATTTTGTACGTATTAGAGCAATGTAGTGACACTGTATATTCTATTTTTTTACCTCTTTGTTAGTCTTTCTTTGCTATTCCCGGAAAAACCAACTTTAAAATTGCCTTCTTTGGGGAATACACACCCTTAAAACCGCCCCTGTATGCATCTTAAAATGGTAGTCATATAAAAGGACTATTAAGATAAATCCTAAAATTACACTTTTCTATCAATAAAATAATTTTTTAATTGATAAAAATTGACTTCCGTAAATTTTAAAAAATAACTTTTTACAAACAACGAAAAACTGTATTATGCAATAAATTTATATTAATTATGTTGTTGGAGTACTGCATGCATGTTTGAGTCAGGGGCGGATCCAGACCATCAAGTAAAGGAGGGAGGAGGGCCGATTTTTAGATTTTTTTCAGCATCTTTTTAAATCATATGACTTTTTAGATAATTTTTGTTTGAATATTATAATTGTTTAGGTGTTGTTTTTATGATTTTTTCAATGCTTTTGCAAAATGAAGCAAATTTATTTTATGGGTCATGCTAATCGGTGAATGTTAAAAGGGCGTAAGTCCAACTATGTAAACTTTCGGGAAACTAAAAAAACTGCATTTCCCCCCGTAGAAAACTTTTCTTAACGGTTAAATAATTTTTTTTTTTTGAAGAGGATAATCTTTTTCATATTAAAAAAAAAATCATTGAACCATTAACAAAAATTTACTAGGGGGTTTTATTATTATTGTTTAGAGAAAGTGATTTTATTGTGTATTTAGGCTGTGCTGTACAAGCATTCTCTCTAACAAATGGGCTCAATTAATTGTTTGAAAAAAAAAGTTTAGATTTACATAAAGTAAAATATTGCAATAAAAATCTATTAATCATTTTAAAACAAAAAAAAACTGAAAAGAAATGTTTAGGGAAATTTTCACAGCAACAGAAAAAACAATAATTGAAAAAGATGGTAGTTTTACTGTCAAAATATACCTTCAAAAACAACGGAAGAATATTACAAGCAATCAGTTTATACTTCTCTTCTTGATTTGCTGATAATAGACATAAACTAGTTTATCTAATAAAAATTTGCATTATTTTCAAACTATTCTTTAATGTCAAAAAATATTATTACACTCAATCGTAAAGATGTCATTGAAATTGTTTTTGCAATCAGTTATGTCTATGACGTCATTCATTGACTAAGTATCTAAAACTTACCTGTACCTTTTTACATCGGAATTTACATCGGAAGTTAAACTATGGCAGCACAAATGTATAAAAATAAAGGATGAGGGATGAATCACTGCCTACTGATCTTGATGTTGTTTTTGATTTATGTTACCAGGTGCAAAATCCAATCACCCACAAATTTTTCAATTTATTGAGTCATGTCCTGTAAGTGTTGCCAGTGTAACACAGTGTGCCGGTGTAAACGTAGCTTCTCAACACTGTGAAAAATTAAAAACTGGCTAAGAAAACAAAGGACAGCAAACAAACGTAAAGAGAAATTTCAGTAAATGTTAAAAACGTGTTTAATCTGTGTTGTTAAAATAGCCAACAAATCAAAGTTTTAAGTATGTATTTAGTCAAACAACTTAACTCTCTTATCTTTATCAAATAGTTGTATTTCAATAAATTGAGATATTTTAGTATTTTAGTCAACATTGCATTCTTTTTTTATTGCAAACACCAAGTATTAATCGTAATACACTGAGTATTTTGTCACAGTTAACCATGACATATTTATAAAAAAAAATTATAACTTTATGGAGAACTAAACAATGACTTACTCTGGTTTAAAAGTTATCAGTCAAACAGAAAACTATAAATAGTATATAAAATTAATATAACTAATAAACGCATTGTAACTTGAGGTGTTCTCCAGGGATCAATTTTAGGACCACTATTATTGCAACAACATCTGTCCAATACCATCTGGAAATTCAATGACTTTTAACAACATCTTTGGGAAGATGTAGTATATATATGTAGCCAATACATTTGCAAGAATTTTTTCCAGATATGATTACATCTAAAAAAATCTTATATGTTTATATTACATCTGGTTATTACATCTGGATAAATTAATGCATTTATATTTAATTTTTTTTTTCACATTTAACTACATATGAAAAAAAACCATACATGTAACAGCATCTGCTTAAATTAATGCATTTTAATTTAAAAATTTCATAAAATCCTGTAGTTATATTTGATATAATTGAAAAGATGTATTTACATTTGTAGAATTCACTGATGCAGTTATTCTTAAAATAATTGAAAAAATTCAGAGGTTGTTGGGCAGATGCTATCTCAGCTGAGGTATAATAGCATCTGCCCAACAACATCTGAAATTTCATTGATGTCTAATAACATCTGTGTAAAAAGTAAATGATTGCTACAGATCTGGTTACATTTTTTTAACTATCTAAGTATAACAAAATTAGTGCAACTACATCTAGAGATTTTCCAACAACATTTTTAAATACCCTAGGGTATTTAAAAATGTTGTTGGACACTTATACATCATCATACTTACAGATGTTGTTGGACAGATGTAATTAGACATAGGAAAAACTGATGTTGTTACCCTGACCCTTTGTTTGATTGTTTATTTTTAAATAGTAATATTAATTAACGGCAATAATAAAAACGGGGCTCTGCGATAAGAGTATATGTCTTCTTCTTGCTCCGGTTATTAATTTTATATTTATTATCTCAATATTTTTTATCTCTTATAACAACTGGATTTAGTCGTATGGAGATATCAATTATAATCCTCGCATAGTTACCAAAATTAAAAAAGGAAAAGTCCTATAGCTTTGCTGATAGACTTTTTCTTACATAGATTTAAGTTCTGGGACGAATGGCAACACCCGGTATGCCTCCTGACCAAAACCTGTGGAGCAATAATCGTTTTTATTAGAGATCCCACGAATAGTGATTTTTGCCAAATACTCAATATTTGGCTAAGTGTTCGGCCAAATACCATTTATTTTAGGGTTCTAACCTACTTTGTTGAAGTGTTAACTACACTGTGGGCGTTTTTGTTTTATTTGTGACTATGTCGTGTCACAGCACGCATTACTTGTCAACTGTTACATCAAATTTTTTAAATATAGTATTGTATAAAAGTGTAAAATGTAATCATACTCTTCAAACCACTCAAAATGATTTTAAAAAATGGCCAGCTCAAATATATCTTGCATTTTTGAAGTAACTTTAGAAGATGCTAAAGATAGATATAGCACAAAGAACTCCAAACTTTTTTAAAATGATATCTTCGCGAAATCTTGAACTTATAAGTTCAAGATCTATTTAAATGCAATAAAAAAAGGGACGGGAAAAATAATCACGTGGGCATGCGTATAAGTTTTAATATGTCCGAAGGAAAACTACGCATGCTCACGTGATTATTTTTCCTTTTCCTATCCTTTCCCGTGAAAAAACGGATGAGTGGAAACTCACCTTTATAATTGATTTATTCATTAAAAAAAAAAAGTTAATCCGCTGGTTTCATACTCAATTTTAAAAAATAGCTGCATTTTAGGGACTAACTAAAATGCAGAGATATTTTTTAAAATTATAATCAAAGTTCCGATTTCTTTATAAATACTGCTTTATATTCTAATTAATCACAAAATTAGTGTTGTTCATTATTGTTACTGTTTTTTAATTTGCTTCAAATATGCAACTTTGCCGAAAAAAATTAATTTTTCACTCAATTTCACTTTTTACTTAATTTTACTGAAATTAAGTAAAAAGTGAAATTAAGTGAAAGTGTTTTTGACATTTGACACACAATGACTTTGACACACAACCAAGCATTTATTTTTGATATTTCACTGCAGTGAAAAATCAATTTTAAGTGCCAATTTTAAGTTCTTAGTAATTATTCTCGTAATCATTATGATATCAACATGATGGAGAGATCTAAACCACCCATTGACACATTGTTCAATAACAATATCAGGAGCTGTGATATCAATACACCTTTTTCTTGCTGTCAAGCCTTTTTGACTTTGTAATGGTATCATTTGCTCACCTGCAGAATGGTCTTGCACTTGTTCAATTTTGATGGAGTTATTACATACAGTATCCAAAACAGGTTTGACCTTAAACAATTTGCCACAGTTTATTTTTTGTAGTATTGTCTACTGCATGCAAGTATCTTTTAAGATATTCATAAAACTTTGAACTCATAACATCAGCAACAGCACTGCATCAGAATTTTGTTGAAGAAAAAAATTTATAAAAAAGGAAGCAAATTAATTATATCAGCATTTTAATAACTTAGAATTGCTTAATCTCCTTTAAATATAAAGCAATTGTAGCACATATAAACTAAACGTTATAAAGATTAATTAGTTCTCTTAAGTACATAAATGGTGTCATGCTCTTACGCGTTCTGACAGAGAAAACCTCTCTCCTTTTAAGACCGCATCAAATATTGGTGGATCCTTTATTCTTTTTTAAAATGTTTTATTCAAATTTTATAACTTTATTCAAACTTCCACATAGTAAGCAAAAGTAGAATTTGGCTTTTGAAAAATTAAGTTGTGAGTTTGTTTTTGAAATGTGAAATCCATTATACATATAATACCTTTTTTTTTTGTTTTTACTAATGTTTAGTACTTTGTAATTGTTTTTATTCTCTTTAGTTTACTTACTGTATTATTTTTTTGGCCTTGAGCCTGTAAATAAACATGATCGGTTGATTGAAAATCAACAAGTAAACTTTCCTTAAATCGTATCCAAATAAATAAATCAGTGTAGTTATAAAACTGCAAAATTAATTTTTTTTTCTTCTATTAATTAAATGGTTCTATTCTAAGAGTGTTTGTTTTACATCAAGCACTGCTAAAATAGAATCCATCATTTTCTTGCCAATATTAAGTTAGCAAAGTTGAAGTATGGCTCAGCATCCAATTCAAAATTTATATTCCTAAAATTGTAATACAGATTTTGACTTAAATGTTTGATTCAAGCCAGCTGGTTATCGGTTCTATGCAAAATTGTTTTCTTCTTGAAAATCTAATATCTTTCTTATTTTTAAGAATGTAACTGATGGCTGCATTGAATCTTCGAGCTGCTTGACGCTAGAAAACACAGAGTGATCAACATTTTTTTGAACTTGTTCAAGTTCTTTTTTTTCCCAAAAAGAGCTTAAGCAATATTTAGGATTATCAGTATCTTGATAATCCCAAATTATTCTCTAAACAGTAGAGAACTCATAAGATGATAGATCTTGATACTCCTTTATCTAAAAATTGTTACACAAAAATTTTTGCTGATTCAAGTTAAGATTTTCCAAATTAGCAAATCCGCTTTCTAGGGTTTTAATATATGTTTGTTTTTATTAGAGTCATTGAAAATGTGAATTGTGAAAATTATTTGAAATATTTGAAATAATATCATTTATTTTCATCACCATAAATATGCATTTTAGTTGTAAGACGTGCACTGAGTGTTCAAAATATATTGGTTCTGTTTTTGTTTCAATTGAAACATTCTCCATAGCAGATAGGAATATTACTAAAACACAAATCATTTTATAAATGAAAAAAGAAGAAATCTAGTTAGGTCCAAACTTGCAAACAAGGGAGTTTTTCAAGTATTAAGTAAATATTAGTGGGTGATAAATTGCTCTTCAAATTTCGGAGGAAATATTAGGAGACTCCTGCAAAATGGCTCCTCCATATTTGACAGGTTTAATATACATTGTTTTTTTAAATGAACAAGTATTCTTGATAAAAATTAAATAACTTGAAATTTGTCTCATTTTTTATTTGCCAGATATTATGGTGTTTAAAAGATGTGTAGTAAAAACAATTAAAGTGTATTTTTATTGCATAATTATTTCATTACTTTATGATTAGGGTTGTCATATAAATTATTTTTATGTTATTTATATTATATTTAAGTTGACAAACTTTGTCAACTTTATAATCATCTTAATATAATACATCTTTCAAAGATCTTATTAGATAAAGCAGTGTTTTCATCATCACTTAGCAATAATTTTAATGTGTTTGCACATGTTGAACAATTGTTACTCCAATTCTATTTTCATTAAAAAGTTTTTGTATGTGTTTAGGTCTACAGGATACAAATAAATTTTGCTTGTTTAATTTTTAAATAACTAAATTTAATCATTTTTTTTTAGGCTTTTTTTTTCAGACTAAGAAAAAAAACAGAGTAATGAAAAAAATGAAATTTCTTTTTGGTAAATATCTTTAACATATAGATACTGCCTACATAAACTTAAAATCTCAGTTGATTTATGTACTGAGGCTCTCATTGATGGCTATTTCAATATGACATAAATGGTGTTTCATGCACTGTTAAATCCTAAATTATTGTTTGTTGTACTGTTATTGCAATCTCTCAACAAAAAAAGTTTCAAAACACAAAAATTGAAAAACAAGGCTTCTGGATGAAGAAACAAGTTGAGCTCAGTACCAGGAACAAACTAAGGTTTAAACTTGGTACCTTTCTCTACATTAGTGGCATTCCTACCACTGGAATTGAAGAGTCAGATTGAACTGATTGACCCATAGCTCCCATCTTTTAAAAAGTCACTAGAGTCATGCGTTTCAAGTCAAAATTTTTAATTTTATATATTGTATATGCAATTTGTAAAATACATCAGATTTAATAAATTTATTTTTTATTTTACAGTACTGTACTTTTTTTGGCTACCACAAGAGTCATTTCTTCTGGAACATAATTGAAATAAGCTGTGTGGTTGAAAAAGCTTGTTTTGCAAGTCAATATTGATAGAATTGTTACTTCATTTGATAGAGATTTGGTCTTGTTTTCTGCAAATATGGAGAAAACTCTCTCTTATGCTGCATTGCTATGTGGTAACACCATTATGAACGTAGCAACGTAAAATATCAAATGAAATTGTGGACCAGTTGCATTTTTGAGATCATTTAGTGTTTGCCATATTTTCAATTTAGAGAACAGTTGCATGTTCAACAATTGAAATTACATTTTATACTTACTGTGTATTTAGCTTTGATTTAATTTATAGGTTGAATAGTGTGCTTTAAGCTCTTTTAAAAGAACAAGAAGAATGCTTTCTTTTCTTCGATTCATTTGACACCATCATAAATTTTTGAGTTAGTGCCAAAATCAAAATAAACCTATATTTTAAATACTGTTAAAAACAAACAAATAAATAGTTGGTATTATACGTAAATTGACTAATTATTAAGTTAGGTATTTTGTGTGAATTATTTTTTATCAAATAATTATTGTAAAATGTCTAGTAAATTTTTTTTAGGTATCACGTTTTTTTTTGCAGGTATTTTAAGTACCTTTGCGGGTCAGCAGGTTTATAACAGTTTGTGCAGGTCTGACCTGCAAATTGTGGGTCACTTGGGAGCTATGTGACCAAGAAGATAACCAACAAGTTAGGAACAATTGAGTTTTAATAAAATGATGTTTTAATTTTAGTCTATAATATTAAAAAAATGCTAAAAAAAATTTAAAGTTTGTAACCTATTGGTAGTTTTATTTTATTTTAAATAATCATGTGAATTGTTATTAATAACCTTGTATGTTTAAAACACTTTTATTGTATTCATTAACTATTCAGTAAACTTATAAATTGCAACAATAAATTAAACAATTTTATTATTTTATTATTTCAGGTTTCTAAAATATTGATAAAAACAATGAAAATCATCATTGACACTGATCCTGGTATAGATGATGCTGTTGCACTTGGTTTAGTATTAAAACGCACTGATTTAGATATTGTTGGTATTACAACAGTTCGTGGAAATGTAGATGTAGTTCAGTCAACGAAAAATGTTCTAAAAATTTTACAAGAATTTGATCGCAAAGATATTCCTGTTTTTCAGGGAGCTCATTCTCCCATTCTGGGTAAGATTAAATAAGTCAAAATATTTTAGTTTATAAATTTTTATGTTTAAAAGCATTATACTTATTATTATATTCATTATTTTATTTTAATTTCACATAACATGTTGCCAGTTTTAATTTTTTATTATGCAGTGGTTTTAACAGGTCAGGGTAACAACATCAGTTTTTGCCATGTCTAATAACATCTGTCCAACAACATCTGTAAATACAATTAAGTATAATAACATCTGTCCAACAAAATCTGAAACTTCATTGGTGTCTAATAACATCTGTGCAAAAATTAAATAAATATTACAGATGTAGTTATATCTTTTAATTTATCGAAGAGTAATAACATCTGTGCAACTACATCTGTGGATTCTACAGATGTAGTTACATACTTTAAATTATCAAAGTGTAATAACATCTGTGCAATCACATCTGTAGGTTTATAAGATGAAGTTAATTTTAAGATAAATTAACCAATCATGCATTATTTTAACCAGATGTAGTTACATATAGGAATTTTTTCAGATATAATTACATCTGAAGAAAAATCTTCCAGATGTTATTGGATTTGGAAAAATTAACAGATGTAGTTACATTTTTTTAAAGATGTTATTAGGGGTCGTTGAAATTTCAAATGATATTGAGCAGATGTTGTTAGAGTAAAAGATAAATAGAGATGTTTTTGGACAAAAGTGTACAGATGATTAACAACAATCTGTGGATTACTCCACAAGTTGTTGTTGGACTGATTTAATAATCTTTTACCATTTTAACTACATCTTTAAAGCCAATTAGTTGAATTTCAAAATTTCAAATTTCAATTCCAAAAGCCAATTAGTTAAAGCATATTTTATACAAGAAATTCCTTAAACCGATTTTTTTTTTAAAGTAATGAATTTAAAGTTATATTTGTTTTACTATATGTTTTCTTAAAAAGAAATAAATTTCTGAAGAAATTTTTGAATAGGGTATCAAATATATAATCTATCAAATATATGCAGACAATTTGAATATGTAAATAATTAATCAACAACAAATAACGAGTCAACAAGACATTTTTATCAACAAAACTTCAATGTAATCACTTTGCAATTTATTCAAAAACTGCATTAAATATTTTAACAAAAAATGGCTCACAACATTGTTGGCAGCTCATGTCTGATTAGACTAAGTATCTAAAAGATAAAATGCTTAACAAAAAAATAAATATATACTTTATATTTTGGAGTATATTTTTTTAGCCCTGTGGTAAGCCTCTGTAACGTTATTCCATGCTATTGGCATTTTGTAATGATTTTTATTTATTTTTTTATTTTGTTATAAATTTGAAATCAAACAACATTTTTATAAATTTAAAAAATAAATTTAAGTTTGCCTAAACAAATGATATTTTTGATATCAAATTTTGGGATGGTTTATAATTTGCAATAACCTTTAAGTGGTGTATCAACATAAAAGTAAATTTTAAGATTTATGGTTGTTGTATTGCAAGGCTGTTATCACATGGAATTTTCCAACTATCTATATCAATTTCAATAAAATCTGATACTTCCAAAATTTAATACACAAGAGGTTTTTGATTTTAATAGTCACAAGTCAGATGCATTGTGAATAAGCAAGTTAAAACTCATTAATCAGGTTAAAACTCTACCATTAGATAAGTTAGGACTCTACCAATAAGCAAGTTAAGCTTTCTAATTTATTAAATTGAAGATAGGATTTTTTCATTTTTTAACAGACTATATAAAAAACTATTTAACAAAAATTTTTTTTTAAATTTCAGTAAGGCTGAGATTTATTAGTGATTCTAACAAAGTAAGTGAGTTTTTAAACTAAAAAATTAAGTGAAACAATGATAAACATTTTTTGATATTTGTATTTGTAATTATTTAATAAATAACTACATATACATATATAAATATATATATCAAAAATAATTTTAACCAATAGCTAGGTTTTGTAATTTATTTCAACATATATAAAAGGTAAATCATATTTGAGTTTAATTTTTTTTTTAGATAATTGTTCATAATGATATAAATTCTTTTGTTTATTTATTGTTTATTTATTTTGATATATAATTTTAGTATATTTAGTCATGCAGTTTTAAAATTGTTTGTTGAAGTTAAAGTTGAATTATATAAATATTATTTTTTTATAGACTCTCCGCATTATGCCACACACTTCCATGGAGATGATGGTCTTGGAGATTATCTTAATTATGAACCAGACTGCACTCCGCTGAAAACTGAGCATGCAGTTGATGCCATTAACAGATTAGCTAATCTATATAAAAACGAGCTTGTGTTAATAGCATTAGGACCATTAACAAATATTGCTCTGGCTTATAGGTAACTATTCTGTCCTTTAATCTTTCTATTTTATTGATGTATTTTAGGTTTAAATATCTCATTTAGTTTAGATGTTTTTTAATGTTGTTTAAATTTTTAAGGTTTAAATATTTTATTAAGTAGTCAACATTTCATAAAAATTTTTAATTACTATTATTTAAGTGGGTAATCAACAAGGTAGTAGTCATCTACAGATCATCTACAGTTTTTTATCTGCAGATCATCTACAGTTCATTATCTACAGCTCATCATCTATAGTTTATCATCTACAGATATTAAGCTACCTAGGCTGGTATTTGACTGTGGCCAAGGCCGGTTCTATGGACGGGACTGCATAAATGTTGGTGCATATTGACTTATTTTTATAAATCATATCAATATGCACCAATATTTATACAGCCCCAGCCATAAACTTGGTTTTGGCCCAGGTCAAATACCAGCCTGGCCGTTTAATATCTACAGATCATTTACATTTCATCATCTACAAATCATTTACAGTTCATCATCTACAGATCATCAGTTTATCATCTTCAGTTATAATACAAATGACATTAAAATTTTTAATTTAAGTTAAATTAAAATTTACCTCCCAAATCACTTTTACTTAAGTGTTTTTGTTTCCTTGGCTCCAAAAGTTCATCAAAGCAATCACGATTTGTAAAGGTAATTAGTTACACATGAATTACACAAAGTTGTCTTACACATACACAGAAACTAAAAAATAAAAAGAAAAGAAAAAAGAGCAATTTGAGTTTTAAAGTTAAAAAAGGTTTAACATCATCCAAGTTAAAAAAAAATCAGCAATAGTCTGTTCATTTTCACAATAAAACAAGTTTTATTTTAAATTCAAATTAAATTGTTTTTTAATCAGGGGTTTGAAGTTGTAAAAAAAAGTACCACCTCCAACTCCAAATTTTCAGAGAACAACTCCGAATCCAAAGCAAAATTTTTGAAAAATTCTTTGAATTCTTTAAAAATATATCAGATGAGAAACAACATAAAAATCAGGCTCTGTCAAGTTATTCTTGAGTCCTTAATACTAGGGGACGGAAATTTTAGTCCAGATCTATTTAAAAAAAAGAGGGGGGATATAGGAGGAATTTTTTTTTTTCGTGCATAATAAAATATCAAAATACTAAAACTGAATAAAAGAATTCCATTATGACAAAAGATATTGATCACAAAAGACCAAAAAACACAATGTCAAGCATTTTTTTTTCTAAACTACATTTATCTCGGTCAGTTTGTGAAAACTTCCAATCTTCCAATCCAAACTTTCCAAAGAAATATAATTTTATTCGTTATCTTATTATATATAACACATGAAGATAAAAAATGATGAAAATTTAAAGAAAAAGTAAGTAACAGCAAATTAAAAATGATGTTGTAAAACACAGTTTTGTTAATACACTTTGTTTTATAAATTTTTTATTCACTAAGTTGCAGATTTACTTGATCTGAGAAAGAAAAAAAAAACATGGCTAAAGAAAAAAAAAACTTTTGTGATTAAAAAACTAGTTATCTTGGTCTCTCAGGATGGCATCTTGGTAAAGTAATTGTCTATGCAAATTTCAGAATTATGGATTTGTTTAAATACAAATCTGCCTGGTATCCTTGTAACTGTAGCTCTTTCCTTATTGGTTTATTAATGTTTATTACTTTAATTTATATTTTTTTCTTATAAATAATTATAATTTGTATAAATAATTAGGTTAAACGATAGTCTTCCATCACTTCTTAAGGAATTGGTCATTATGGGAGGAAATTACAAAGGTGTTGGAAATATTTCTATGGCAGCTGAATTTAATTTTTATATTGATCCGGTTGCTGCACACATTGTTATAAAGGAGTTCTCCTGTACAAAAATGCTAGTTACATGGGAGTTTACAAAAACAGTACCGTTATCAAAGGAAGAAACAAAAACGTTAGTGGGCCAAGACAACAAGGTTTCGCGTTTTTACAAAACCATTCTTGAGAAACATTCTAATGTTGAAGAAATGGTACTGTGTGATGCATTGGCTGTGGCGGTGGCTGTTGATCCGAAGTTGATAACAAAATATCATAGTGTTTATGCGGTAGTTGAGTTGTATGGAGAATATACAAAAGGACAAATGGTAATTGACTGGTATCCTGACAAACGTTCTGACGGAAAAACAATTAATAATCCAAATGTCATTATTGTAGACCAAGTTAATGTTGAGCTTTACAAAAAAATGCTTTTAAACTGCTTGCAATAATTTTTTTAAATTGTTTTTTGCACTTCTTTTTTATCTTTTATGTTAAAATTAATTTTTGAAGAACGATATAGTATATTTTGGATTATATTTGAATAAAAATTACATATGTTGTAGTTAGTTAAAATACATTAGTATTTTGATTTATTTTTTAATATTTTTTGCAACATTTAGTTTATATGAAATTAACTGTTTTTGCAATTCTATATTTAATGTCGTCATTGAGTTAAATCAATAAGATATGCTAGAAATTATTTTCTCGGCGGATTAAAGGACGAACGAAATGAATTGTCTATTTTATTTGAATGTCTTTTTTAAAAATTTTGAAAACTGCAACATCCCTTGATTGTTTTTTGCAGATGTACATAAAATTTCTTAAATTTTCCTCTTGTACTAGTAATCGTGTTTATAAAAACACAAGTTAACAGTATGGTTGATATTTAATCTAGGTCGGGTTACAACCCTTTAAACTCAAGTTAGTATTTGGCAATACTACGAATTTTTTTTTTGGCAAAACGAACGAAGCCTTACCCGATTGCGATTATAGGGGTTGTCCATAAATTACATCAAGCACTAGCGGGGAGGGGGGATGGGGGTTAGCGTCAAAAACGGCCGAAAACTACGTGACTTAATTACCTTCGAACCCACACTTTTACTTAATTACCCTCGAATCCACACTTTTTATTAAGCATTTTTGTTACACTTTTTTTTTTCTCTCTTTAAAAAAAATTGATTTGTAGTGTTATAAGGTAGAGCGGGGCATAATGCAACCTTATATCTCGGCTGATAAATATTTTTTTCTAAAATTTTTTTCGATAAAAAACTTTAATTATTGCGCTTCATAAATGTAAAAAAAAAAATTGATTTTAGAAATACCAAAATGCATCAGTAAGTTGGCAAAAAACAAAATTTGTATTTTCAAAAGCGATACAACGACAACAAGTTTATCTAAAACTATTGCTAATTTGCTTTATTTATAAAAAGTTTATATTTTTCAGACAATATTTTTTTATCCTCTTTTAGAAACTGGCTTTAAAAAAATATCTGGAATTGAACATATTGAATTATATTAATTTCAGTAAATTGACTATATTACTATTATTTTATGATGCTATTTATGGGACTTTATTTTTAATCTAAAATATTATTTTACTTATTTAGAAAAGCAGTATTGGTTATAAATTCAAAGTAACTGTTATTTTTTTAACTTAACTTCAGTTATTTTTATTATTTAATGTAAAAAAGAAAATGATAAAAGTTATATAAGAAAAACCAATCGTTTAAAATGGGATGAAAACTCATTAAAAATATGCAGTTTTAGCTGTGAGCCAAAAGAATCGTATGAGAAAAGCTGCTGATACATATGGTCTATCTAAGTCTGCTTTACATCAACGTATTGCCAATAAAGATGATTTAGATATGAACAGTAGCTTATCATATTTTATCAGCCGTGGCGCAGTGGTAGCACACTTGCCTCAGAAACGTAAGATCCGTCGTGGTTCAAACCCCTCCTCTGGGCAAGTTTTGCGACATCGGTTGGGAAGGAAGCGTGAACTTCCTATTAAATGCTCTTCCGCAATGCTCTGTAATAAGACCGTAAGGACTTCTTGGGGCACCTAAAATCAACATAAAAAAAAAAAAATTTGCAATAAGGTTGTTTTTTTCAAACAAGTTTTATCAATAGAAGCTGAACAGAATCTTTTATTTTACAAGTCGATGGAAGATTATTTTATGGATTATCAATAAAAGACATACGTGCAATTGTATATGAATAGTGTGAAAGAAACAAAGTTCAACATCTTTTTAATATGGCAACTAAACTTTCTAGTAAAGACTTTGTTGCTGGGTTTTTAAAGCGTCATTCTTCTCTCTCTCTCTTTTTGCAAGCCTAGGGCTGTTTTTTTAAATGAGCATTTGGTCTAAAAAATACATCGGTTGGAAAATATTTTAATTTAATAAAAATTTATTACAAAAACACAATTTTCAGCCTCAAAGAATATTCAAGTGTGACGAGCAGGGCCGGCGCGAGTTGGTGTCACGTAGGGGGGGGGGGTTGTCATTACAGGTCCTCGTTTTCCAAAATTTGCCGACTGCCATGACGACATTTGCCGACTAACTAGATTACCGACTAACCTATATTGAAAAGGTCGACGTTTGCCGACTAACTAGTCTAAAGGGTCCAATTTGCCGACTAAAAATCATTGATGGGGGGAGGGGGTGTCACACCCCCGCACCCCTCTGTTGCGCCATTCTTGGTGACGAGTCAAGTATTTCATGTTTTCATAAACCTGTGAAAATTATTGTACAAAAAGGTAAATGTCAGAGTTATTTCGCCTGTTACAAACGGAAAGCAAGGATTCACAACTACAGTTCTAATTGCAATGAGTGCAACTGGTTTTTTATGTACTCTCAACGGTAGTTTTTAAGCGCAAACGCATAAAAAAAATAAACTACAACCTTTGGATGTAAGTTTTTTTAAATCACTTTAAATCTGCATTTGATGTAGATTGTTCATTATGGGTGCGCAATTATCAAGGTAGACGAATTACCACAGATAACTTTGGAAAATTATTTTGTAATGCCTATATGAAAACTGCAACTCCTTTTATTGCAGCTGCAGGCTTTAAGAATGCAGGTGTTTTGCCATTAAAAGCTAATATTATTCCTGAAAGTGAATTTATTACATGCAATAATAAACTATTAAGAGGTCAAAATTAACTTTAGGAAGTCGGCTCTTGATAATAGCTGTGTTCCAGGATGCAAAACTACAGTAAAAAATACCATAGTTCCAAATTTCTCATTTAATGATGTTGTTTCCATACCCAAGTCAAAACCAACAAAAAAGAATAAGGAAGAGTTTGAAAACATCACAAGTTATTTTTATAAGTAAAAAATTGAAGAATCCCTTATAAACGTTTTCAAAAAAGTAACTTAAATCTAAGTAAAAAGAAGTCGCTTCTTGTCTCTTTCAAAAAAAATAAAGTAGCGGTTAAAAGGCCTTTCATTCACGATGAGAATGTTTTACCAGAAAATAGTGAATGTTACGTATGTGGCTTGTGGTGGAATGATGCAGGAAAAAAAGATGATTAGTTTAGATTTAATATCTTTAAATTTCGGGCTCATCTTAGTTGTTGCCAAATAATTTCAGGATTTTATTAATGTGATTTATGTGACCTATAATTATATTTTTTAGATCATATTTTTTGTTAAATCTTAAACTTATTTATATTGACTTCATAATATATACCAGTTTTTTCCTACTTTGTTTTTAGGTCTTAAGTTTGTTTGCTTAAAAGCATTTTATAATGAAACACCAAAAATTTCTTAATTTTAGTTGTTATTGTTTTTTGGGGTGTATGGGCGTATGGGCGTGTAATTTATATGAGTATGTTATTTTCATCTAAGAAAATAATGTCTAAACAGGTTTAAATAATAGACAACTTGTAATTTTTCTTTTTTAAAGCTTTACAACCAACGAATAACTGTTGCTCTTTAATTGTCACGTTTTGCCCCACCCACTTGCAAAATATGAAAAATTTGTTGCTCTAGAGTTTTGTTTTTTTGGTTGTCGTAGCTTATTTAAATTTTTTTTTTGTTTACTTATATCAATGAGTTTCAGGAAATTTATAAAAAACAGTGTTAACTATGATTAGTTTATCCGCTACTAGCATTTGTTTCTTAAGTATCCATATATGCCGTGCTCTACCCTATAATAAAAAAAAAAATTAATACAATACCTAAATCCACCACATGAAAGATTGTCTGAGTACTGAATTTCAGGTCGATACCTTGTTCATTAAATATTGCTATTTAATGACAAAAAATGTTGAGTCAGCATAAATAAGAAAATTAAATTAACAAGAACCGTAAGCTGTTAGAGATTCCAATTTTCCTAACTAAAATTGTCAAAATCTAAAACAAAGGGTGCCATTTTTATTTATTTTTTTTTTTTGCTGATTAAACATAGAATGATTCATATTCAAAATATTATGAAATAATTTATGCTCACTACGTGAGCCATTCAGCCATTAAGTCCATAAAATAAAAATGAAGGAAAAAAACTTATGCAGGGCTGTCTCTAAGGAGGTGCAACCGGGGCAAATTGTCCCTGGTGCCGCGGCAAACTTTTTTTTGTTACGGTAGCAGCACAAAAAGCTTATATACGCAACAGATTTTGGAGGAAGAGGGCGCTGCAACTACGTGTGACCCGGGCGCTACTAACCCTTGGGACCGTCCTGAACCTATGATTTTGAAAATATTGAAATTAAAATCAATTAATTTTTGGTATAGAAAAACGTATATCCTCTAAAAATCAGAGCATATGTTATTTAGTCTATTAAAAATTACCAAAATTAGAAAAATTTTAAATAGTGGATTTAATCACATTGGCTTCTGAACGGCTCATATAAAGCTCGCATAATTTCAAGGGAAGACAATATTTTGATGTATTCACACACATCCAATAAGTTCATCAGACCTAATTATAATTTCTTAAAAAAATTATATATTTAAAAAAAAATTGTATTTTAAAAAAATAGATCTAGGAAAAAAACGGCTGAGTGAATTAAATGAGTAATTGCTTTTATGTAGTAATTGGTCAGCTTTACGTGAATAAAACTTAATGAAAATTGTTTAAGTTTTTGTTCATGTAAAGTTGACCAATTACTGAGTAAGAGCAATTGCTAATTTTTATTCACCCGGCCTAGTCTTCCATAAGAAGTTACTGATCTTTTAATACGAGAAAAAAATGACTTAAAATTAGTGACGAAATGATGATAACACATCAGATGAGGACAACGATGTTTATCAATTTAATAAAAACTTTGATAACGTGTGTGATGATGAAGTGAATGATTACATGAATAATGTAGAAGTTAATAACAATTAAAATAAAAAAGCAATAATGATGCAAATAATTTTATATGAAAAATACATAAAACTTCGGGAGCTACTTAAAAATGTTTTACTCTTTGTTAGTTTTCCTTAAAAATTATTTATTTTAAAGAAACTCAAGGAAGGGGAGGGGAAGGGCAAATGACCTCCCAATCAAGTTTGTTTGAGGATTGAAATGGTTAAAGCAAATGACCTCCTGTTTTTGTTTTTTTTGTGTGTTTTTTTTGTATGATTGACTTTTAATTTTAAACTAAATTTTAATTTCATTGCTAATTTTAGTGAACACATTTTTGAAATGTTTTTATTAAAGTTATAATTTATATATTCTTTACAATCTAACTGGAGCAAGTTTCTCATATTAGTAAAATAAAAATTAATTGTCTTGTTTAATATTTATAGTTAGTTTAGAAGAAATTTTTATTTAAAGTTTTCAAAATTGTTTGACTTCGATGTTTAAACATAAAGAAGAAGTGGTAGATGATTAGTCCGTAAAAGCTGAGAACTTTTCATTGAGTAGCAGCTTGGAGCTTTTGTACTCATCTATAAAATAATCAAATTGCCGTAAGACCAAACTCAACTAGACCTAAAATTGACGAAAGATTCGAACTAACATTTAAGAAATCAGGCAAAAAAAAAGAGCTTAAATACACTTTATCTACCATATTCATCTGTTTTAGCAGCAAAAAAGTTTTGCTACCCTCAAGACAACACCTTAAAATTTACAGAATCAAAAGCTGGCGAACAGTTGCATTAGCTTTATTAGGCTACACTGTTCAACTTGTTTTACTGCTGAACCAAGACAATATTATATAAAGATTGGTTCAGAAATGTTGAATATGACTTTGATTTGTAAGTGAGGCTTCAATAGAACTTCCATACATTTATAAAACAATTTTTGAAAATCCAAATATATTATGAGCAAGTATACTTTTTACTTCGCTTGATCAATTAAATCTTGTCGGTGTAAATCAAGAAACGAAATGAAAAAATCTCTTATAAAGTAATTTATAAGTATATTCAACTCTCTTTTGCAGACCTCTGAACAAAAGAAAAACCTCTTACAAAGAAAACCGAGGAAACTTTTTTAAATGAGAAAATGTGTTTTGAAAAACAGATCGAACAACTCTAACCATTAAAAACGACCATTCATATGAAAAATGTTTTTCATTCGATACAATTTAAGTATGACTATGATGAATGGTAAAGTATGCTATGGTATCACCAACACAATCGCAACGGTGCTATCTCTTCCAGGCAACTTCTAAACAATTTTATAACTTTGTTGAAGTTTTGCAAAAACCAGTAATCACCGATTATCAACAGTACGGACAAACTCTACACGCCTGTTTTGAATGCTGTATTCATTTGGGATACAAAAAAAACTAACGAAAAAGTGGCCAGTGCGTAAGCATGAAAAAGCAATAATGAAAGCCAGCATTTAAAATGATTTCAAACAGCAACTAGGAACTTTAATCGACATGCCAAAGCGAGGGTCGGCAGCACGAAGACAGAAATACCGCTCAACGTTTTTTTGAAAACACTCAAACTTCCGACAAACTAATCCACTGTTTTCATATAATTTTAAAAACAATTTTGAGTGGACGTGAAATTGACGTTGAAAGGTTTTGAGGTTATACCTTAGCAACTACAAAACACAATGAAAAAATTTATATCAAAGAATATCCCTGGTCCAACATGCCAATATCAGTACATAGATTGCTGATCCACGGACTTGACATTAATTCTTTGGCTATTTTATCCTTTAGTCAACTCTCCGAGGATGCTCAAAAAAAAAAACTAATTTTAACATTTTTATCCGCCATATAAAACTTGAATTCGCAACCATCTCTATAAAGATTCTTGTATTTATTCGCATGCATTATTACTATTTTTCTTTGTATGTTTTCAAAGTTTTTCACTTTTTTATTATTTTATATAACGTTTGATTATTTTGTTGTATTTTTAAATGTGCTTTAAAAGCAATCATTAGTTGCTTTATTTTGATAAAAGTAGAAAAAGAAAACAAGAAACATTTTGTTCTTTTTTATAACATTTCTTTATAAAAATTTGTGGAGTTTAAAAAACATTTCATCATATAATTTACAGACTTAAACTCATATACTTATATACATTCAAACCTTTATACTTTACCAATCACATTCGCACTTTGCCAATCATATTTGCACTTTACCAATCATATTCGCACTTTACCAATCATATTCGCACTTTACCAATCATATTCGCACTTTACCAATCATATTCGCGCGTAAACTGCTTAAATCACTAGTTTTTAATAAGGAGTTTTTACCGAACCGATAGTTTTAGCGTGGTTTATATATTAATTCACAAATAAAGTTAATCGTGGGTTTGTTAAATATATATTACTTTTATTTAAAGGTTTGTCGGTAATTTGCACGTATAAGAAATTTGCGTGAAAGACTCTTCGTCGTAAGGAGCTTGATACACTTTCTTCAAACTTACGACACACCTGACATTATTAAATGCTTTTTGTAAGTGTTCTTTACAATATTCAGACACTTTCTCTTTTGATTCTTTACTAGATGCAATACCAGAATACTCAATTTCTTGTATTTCAATTTCTCCCGAACATTCAAGCACAATATCATTGTTTCCCTTAGCATGCCCTGTTAAATGCAAATGCAAATAAATTATAAATATATACCAAAAATAAATTTTGTTATAATTAATATATTAAAAGTATAAGTTTTCTGTTGTCTGTTTTATTTGGTGCAAAAGTAAATTTCTTTTTTTTCTTTTTTTTTCCAAATGTTTTTATTTAAGAAAGCAAAAAAACAAGCAAAAAAGATATCCCATCAACATAATTTCCTTATTGTTATTTCATAGACGATTCCTATATTTGTAAAAGGACTAAGATTTTATGTCGAAATAGGCATTTAGCTGATTTCTTGATTTTCAACAACCTTATTTCAAAGATTTTTCATTCAATCGTCTCAGTTTAGCGAGTACCGTTCAAGGTTTATAATTTGCTTTGATTCCATAAACTCCGACTTATTATACCTTTGAAACATCACCAAATACATAGCATTTCCTATTTTCGATGAATAAAGGGATTAGACAACGCAGCTACTGATTGGTATGGACTTAACCACTGTTTTTTGTTTCGTAATAAACCCACTTTTCATTACCGGTTACAATTTTCCACAAAAAATCCACTCTTTGTATTTTGTCAGATGAGAAATAGAGGTGCTCATACGCTGCATTTTTTGATTTTAGGACAAGTCATGTGGAAATCATTTATAGACCTTTTAAACTTTTCCATGTAAACTTCTTAAAAGAATTGTATGATTAATTCTTATTTGTTTAGCTAATTTTCTTGTTAATTGCCGTGGATCTTTTTAAATCAATAATTCTAACAAGTCCGTCTCTTAATTATAATGCCTTCTGGATTGTTGCTGCTCCTCAAGATCAAAATTCCAAGTACAAAACCAAGTACAAAATCAAGTACAAAACCAAGTAAGCCAATCAAACATTAAGAGCCGTAAACATGAACAAAGTACCTCTATTGCCTTCGTTGCATTTTTACCTTGCCAAAACTCGTAAAGAATATAATTTCTAAAATATATCTTTTTAAAGCCTATATTTTAAATTACCAATTGATATATAAAAACATAATAATTTAATTTATAATTTTTAATGTATAAAAATATTGATTTTTCAAGTGTTATATTGTCTCCATTTTCTTACAGAATGTGTATAAAAATTTGACTTTTATGCAAACTATTCTTTACAATCTAACTGGAGCAAGTTTCTCATATTAGTAAAATAAAAATTAATTGTCTTGTTTAATATTTATAGTTAGTTTAGAAGAAATTTTATTTTAAACTATACATTAACGTTTTTGTAAGAGAAAATTTAGTAACAATATAAATGTGTAAAAATACCTATATAAATTGTTGGCTCTGAAGACATGTGCCCTAAAAAACAACAATTTTAAAGTCAAAATCTTTAAACGACAAATTTGAGAAATAAAAATCATAAATTTATGGGTTCCATAAAATATTTTCAAAATAAAAATGCTCGAATTTGTACTTTGTGCTAATTATAGTTTATTTAAATAAACCAGGCAGATTGGAGCTAATTGGTATTGGTGAACTGGTAGGGTAGGGTATTGGTGAACTGGTAGGGTAGGGTATTGGTGAACTGGTAGGGTAGGGCATTGGTGAACTGGTAGGGTAGGGTATTGGTGAACTGGTAGGGTAGGGCATTGGTGAACTGGTAGGGTAGGGTATTGGTGAACTGGTAGGGTAGGGTATTGGTGAACTGGTAGGGTAGGGTATTGGTGAACTGGTAAGGTAGAGCGGAGCTACTTGAGCAATTATAACAAGGTCCAATACCTTTTTTTTTTACATTTTTTAGTCTATTTTAATGACGAAAAATTTAAATAAAGTTTCAAAATTAAATAGTAAAAAAAAATTAAATAGTAAAAAATTAACATAAAAAAACAATTTTACTCAATTAACTCTAATTTTGAAGACCTATTTAACAATTGCTAATTACAAAATATAAATTTAAACAATTGATTTACATTTAATATCTAATTTATAATTATTTTCAAAATATTTATTTTTAAATTAATTATACAATATACGACTTAACAAAAAAAAGACTAACTATTATTTAAAGTCCAATAAATGAATGAATGGGTAAAACATCTACACTTAAGTGAATGTGTAAAATATCAACACTTATCTATCAATAAATAAATGAATGGGTAAAATATCAACATTTAAGTGATAGTGAAAGATCTTTTTAAGTAACTTTCATTTTACAACTAAAGGTAGATTAATAGTTTTTAATTATTTAAAGATTTTTATGATAGAGACTGCGTCAGGTTTTTTTACATTTAATAAAAAGATAACTTTCGGACATGGAGCAAACTTTAAACTTGGGTATGCTTATGTTTATATTAAATGACCCAGGAAAAAAAGTTTTATAGAATTTCTATAAACTTTTGAAACATATGGCCAGTGCCGTATCAAGGGAAGGGGGGGCTAGGTAGGCTATAGCCCCGAGCCCCGCAAATTAAGGGCGCCTTCAAAAATTTTAGAGGACCTATTTTTTATTTATTTTTAGTCATTTTTAGGCTCTAGGCCATAAAAAGGCCTCCAAAAACAAAAATAGCCCCGGGTCCCAAGAAGTCTTAATCCGCCACTGCATATGGACTACAGAAATTCTATAGAATTCAATAGAATTTCTATAGAATCTCTGTTAATTTTTATAAAAATTCCTATAGAATTTTTTTTTCTAATTTTTTTTTCTATAGAAAAAAATGTTTTATAGCAATTTCTATATAAATTAATAGACATTCTAAAGAAATTCTATAAAATTTCTATGGAATTTATATAAGCTATATATTTCAAAAGTTTATAGAAATTCTATAGAACTTTTTTTGAGGGGGGGGGGAAGCTTTGCGAAAAATTGCTGTGATTCGAGCCTCGGTGTCCCCCTAATCTCAAATGACTTTATTTTGCACTGTTACTAATCTAAACTAAATTTATATTCATCAATATATCTGCAAAAAACGCACTAGAACCACTAGTTTGATTCCATCAATTAGACAATTGTATGGCAGAACAAAACAATGTATCTTTTATTAAAATGGGGCTTAGTATAAACAGCATATAATAAAACACAATGGTTCAATACATAAACAATCAAATTGCTGCTTTGGTGCCTTAGAGCATTATATCTTAATTCTATTGGTCATGGATCATTGTTTAATTGATAAGCTATAAAGCTCAATCAATGGAAGTTTCACCTAATTAATATTAATTGTAAATTAGCTGAAAAAAAAATCATATAATTTATTTTATTTAATTGAAAAAAAAAAAAAGCTTGGTTGAAAATAATGCCTCGAATAAACTGTGCATGCTGGAGACATACTATGAAACCTCTAACTATGGGTAATGCCTTAATTTTTTAGTAAAAAATAAATCTAGTTGGAAAAAAATTTTTGGTAAAAAAATTTAGTTTAATTTTGTTGGGTAGAAACATATTTACTTTAAAAAAACGTATAAACTATGACTCACCCTTTGAAAATGATCCGTTGTTAGTATCAAAGAAGTTAACCATCTTTTGAAGAATGCGGCGATCATCTAAACTTAAACTAATTAGTTAAATTGTTTTAAAATTAGAGTCATTTGTAAAAATTAAAAAATACTTCAAAAATTCATTATTAAGCGTTTAATTAAGTTTTATTTATTTGCTGCCGTTAGTATATTAAGTAAGTTATATAAGTATCTTTGACGCTACTACAATCTATAGTAATAAATAGAGATTTTATTTATTTGCTGCCGTTAGAATTTAATTTTGCAATCAAATAGAGATGATTAGTAACGTTTTAGAGCGGCAAATTAAGATGATGGTCAATATTAGGGCAAAATGAAATAGGATATATATATATATATATATATATATATATATATATATATATATATATATATATATATATATATATATATATATATATATATATATATATATATATATATATATATAGTCTAAACAATATAAATGCTGCTTTTTTATGTATATTTTAGAAATTTAAATATGGTTAGAAACAATAAAAGAATAAAAATAGTTCCAATCTTTTTTGAGCAAAGTAGATTATTTTTTTTCAAAGTATATATTTTTTTATTCAAAGTTATTGTCAATCGATTCCTTAAAAGAAAATTCTATAAATTAAATAAAAAAATTCCTTTGAGAAAAGTAGCTTTAACATTTGACGACAATAAAGAGGCTTCGCACAGAAGGATTAAAAGACTAACGAAGAATTTAGACTTTACCAATGTACATAAGTGATCACTAGGCTCATATGAAAAAGTATTTCCAGGTGATACTGATGGTACTGGATACCAGGTTGCACTAAAATCTATTAGTAATATAGATAAAAAAATCTTAGCGGGTGATATATTTTGGATTTTTGATTAGTGATTTACAACAAATTTTCTTCTTTCATGTAGCAAAATATAACCCATTTAATAAAAATAATGATATTGTAGAAAAAGATTTTATAACTGGATTTTTGAAGAAACACACCCAGCCCTTTTACTAAGAAAGCTTTAGAAGACTTTTATTTTGATAATGTAGAATTGTTATGGATAAATACAAGTTTGAATCTTATCAAATTTTTAACAGTTATTAATCAAGTTTTGTAACTGTGCATAAACTTGTTCAAATTGCCCCAGAAAAAGAAAAACATTTTGTATTTTCTGTAACAAAATAAAATTCCGGACACTGAGTTTAATGATTACAAAAGATCTAATAAAATGATACATAAATCTGAAAGGTCCCTGCAAAAATAGAGAAAGAGAGTCAACCCAGGAAAAAAAGTTCTATAAAATTTTCTTTAAACTTTTAAAACATATGACCTATAGAAACTCTATAGAATTTCTATTAGTTTCTATAGAATATAGTTTAATAGAATGTCTATTAGTTTCTATAGAAATTGCTATAAATTTTTTTTCTCTTTTTTTTCTATAGAAAGAAAAAAGAGAAAAAAAATTTCAATAGGAATTTTTATATTCGTTAACAGAAACTCTATAAAAGTTCTAGAGAATTCTATAAAATATTTATAGATGTACGAAATGCGGACTGTACGAAATGCGGATTGTTGTTCATTTCAAAATACTAGTAAAGTAATTGTGGTTTATATATGAGTGATGGCAGGGTGTTTGATTTATATAGTGAGTCATGAAAAATATTTTATTATAAAAAAAATTTATCAAGCTTAAAGTTCTGGTTTGTATATCTTGATTAATTCTTAAAATTAATTTCATTTAATTCTTAAAATTAATCTCATTAATCTCACTACGATATGGGCAAAATGAGACAAGGTAAATGAGACTAGGTAAATATAGTCATCAAATGATCACTAGAGACCTGTTCATTGCAGTTTTGTATCTCATGTTTTATAGGATTATGTTAGAATTATGGATTATGCTAGGATATTAAATTCAAAAGATATCAAGTTCTATTTTAAAAACTTGTTACATGAGATACATTAGATACACTAGTGCTTAACTACCTTTTTTTTTTCTCTTACTACCCTACTTTACATACTAAGACTGACGGAATAAGGGTCATAGGCTAGGAGATAAAGCAGATAAACAGCAATATATAAAAACTTTACGTGTTATTTTTCAATTACGTATGGTTATTAAATGCAATTAACTATTCCCAGTAGAAAGGTGATCACAGCATTTTCCCTTGTTATTAATAGATATTTCCCTTGGTTCGTCACTGCATAGTTATTATGCAGTGAAGAACCATGGGAAAATTTTAGTTAGTAATTACTGCATTACTAATATTTACTAGTTAATACCTTGACATGAATCGACGTAAACTTTAATGAATGGAATGAAACCAACCACGACCCCCATCATAAACATTGCTACACAAATCAATATCATTCCAAATTTAGAACGATGCAAGTATTGGCAGCACGAAGTGAAACCCTATAAACTTATTATTTTAAAAAAATCGTATATGTAAATTATTTAGAAGTAAAAAAAAAAGTTAATCTACTATTAGGCGGCTTTGATACCTTTCTACTTCTGTAATCACAAGAACTGCTGTTGTCCAGAAGGTTTACATTTTCAAACTTTTGCTCAAAAGAAGGAATATAACTTGGGGATTTAACATACCGAATTTTTTTTCCGTTTCTAACTTGTCTGCTCTGTGCCTAAAATATAAAAACAACAGTTCAAAGTTTTGATTATAATAATTACTGGAAAATTTTATTTATGCCACTATTCTTTAAATGTAATTATCAGGTGTGTTCCATATATTTGCTTTATTTGGTTAGATATCAGACATAGATACTGTACTATCTCGTATCCGGTTGGTTAAAAAAACAATCCATTATTTGAACAAATGAAAGCGGAACTATAATGTTAATTACGTACAATGTAATGAGGATAAAAAAAAACGCGGAATGTAAATATTTTTACAAGTTAGTAAAATTTTCACAGTCAACATTTCACAGTCTCATTTTGTTCAATAAATTTATTTTCTCAAATTATTCAACTCCTTTATTAATTTTTGAGTTTAATATAAGATTTTTATCTTATATTAAACTCAAAAATTAATTATCAAAATAATAACAATATTAAACTTCAGACGTATCTATTTTTTTTTTTTTTTCTAAACGAACAATGAAATTAAACTAACATTTAAGAAACAAACATCCTTACATACCTGTCAGGGTGACAGGGGTATAAACGTGGCAGAAGTGTTGCTTTGAGATACCTTTCAAATTAATATCACACATTAAAACCTTTGTGCTCGTTAAAAAAACATATGTTGATCATCGAGATCATTTCTGATAAATACATAAGAACTAACATTAGTAACCATTAGTAACCATTACTATAAGTAACAATGTATATAGGTCAAAATAACTAAACTAAATTTTTTTTTATGTACTACAGCAATAGTCTTTTGGGTTTTTATTTATCTTAGGAAATTAAATTTTGTGGGCTATCAAGAGGATTTTTACTCAAAAATTCACAGACAATCAGCTTATCATAACTTTAGCACAAAAAATAGTCTGTCTATGAATATTTCTTCATGCAAAAATTTTGGTTTTTAACTTTATTTGAGGTTCTATAAAAAGATGACAATGACTTTTTGTCATTCTCATCTTCTTCAAATCCTTGTCTGTTAAATTCAAAATTTATTTTTTATAAAAACTTAACAGCGACATCTTGTGAAGTTAAAAAAACATTATTTTAAATTAAATAAAGAAAGAAATTTATGTTAATTAATAATTTTTTTATTTAGCAAAAAAACTGAGTACCCTTAATATCATAAGGATTTAAGTGACAATTATAAAAAATGATTTTGAGACATGAATATGTTGTGAAAATATTTTATTTGGCGTTAAAAACATTAAAGTAGTTGCTTTCAAAGGCACTGCCATCTGATGCCCCCTAACTACCTAATATTGTGTAGTTCAAACCTGCTTACCTGCATCATCACGTTGATTTTTTGTTTTACGCTAGACACTCAACAAATTTTTTAAATTGAATAAAATTAAGGTAGATAACCATGGCATATTCAGCTTTGAGCCACATTATTTACAAGTTGTCGTTTGGTAAATAAATTCTGGGATTTTTTTTGTCAAAGTATAAAATTCTATAAAATATTTTTCGGCATGATGACAGTTGTTTGTTATTTAAAATTTTATTTTTAGTCAAAAATGATTTATTTTGTATGCATATTTGTTCACAAATCTATTTACATTTTTTTACGCAAAGATCTCACTGAAATCATTGCGTAAAAAATAATGTTAAAAGATTTCTGTTTAAACTACCAGCTGGTTGTCTATAAACAGACTGTCTATAATTAACTATAATATTTTGGTCATTCTCAATCAATCAATCAATATATATTTCGTCAATGAACAAAAAAGAAAAGAAAATTTTACAATGTACTTGTAAAATAAAAATAAAATAAAATATATTTTTTAAATTCTGACAGGAGCAAGCAGAAGACAATACATCTTATCATCTTGCCCCTTTGATAGTAAAATAGTTAACTTTATTTACATGATTAAGTTCGTAAAATCTATAATTATAAAATTAGTTTATTATAAAATTACATATTTTTGAGTTAAACAAACATATTCGTATTAGTAAATACATAAAAATACGACTTAAAAATACAAAAAAATATTTTTATTAGTTAGATTTAACAAATGTTGTTTCACAGTTTTTTTAAATGCTTTAATTGAGGCTATAGATTTTATGTCATTATTCAGGATTGAGTTCCACAGACGTGGACCCCGATTAGTAATAGAGTAGTCCGATTTTTTAAGAGTTGTTGATAGTATGTAAAAATTGTCAATAGAATATCTTGTTAAGTATCTGTGATTAACTAAAGAGAAATGTGGCTGAAAATATGATGGAAGCATGTTATTGTGAAGTTTAAACAATAAATTTTGATAAATGTTTAGTTCGAATACATTCAGAGCTTTAATTTCTTTTAGTAAAGGCTTGGCTTGTGCATATCTGTCTGCATTAAAAATTAACCGAGTCGCTTGTTTTTGTTTGCTATAAATTTTTTTTATTAAAGACGAGTGATTACTTGCCCAAGCTATAGTACAATAACTAATATAGCTATGTATAAATGAAAAATATAAATTTTTGAGGCACATATTATTCAAAAGGTGCCTCATTTTGAACATGATCCCCAAGGTTAAAGAGATTTTGTTTTCTAATAATTTAATATGATTTTTCCAATTTAAATGTTCATCAAATAAAATACCTAAAATTTTTATTGAATGAAGATTTTTTATTTTAATGTTGTTTATAAATAAATCTGGAAGTTTAAGGGGTAAGTTATCAGTTTTTGAGGGTTTTGTGAACAAAATGTATTTCGTTTTATCATTATTTAAAGAGAGTCTATTAGCTTTAAGCAAGTCGTTGAGATTTACTAGTTCAGTGTTAACAGTAGAAAAAATGTACTTTAAATTATTACCAGAAAAGAAAATATTGGTATCATCCGCAAAAGAATGAAATTTAGTAACTCGGAGGATAAATGGATATCATTTATATATATGAGAAATAGCAGAGGACCAAAAATTGAGCCTTGGGGGACACCATAACTAATACTTTCTAATTGTGTACTTGTCAAGTCATACGCAATACATTGTTTACGATTCTGAAGATAAGACTGAAGCCATTTTAAATTCTGATTCAAAATTCCGTAGTTTTGCAATTTATATAGAAGGATTTCATGATCTACAGTGTCAAAGGCCTTCGATAGATCTACAAAAACTCCCAGTGTTTAGTTGTTGTCATCAAAGCCTTTCAAAATAGTGTTAGTCAAATCAACTATTGCATGCTCAGTACAATGGTTTTTTCTACATCCAAATTGTTTATGGTATAAAATATTATTTTTTTCAAGATAATTGTATAATCTATTGTACATTGCACGCTTAAGAAGCTTTGAAAAACAGGAAAGTATTGAGATAGGCCTGTAGTTGGTTTCTATTGAATCATTGCCATTTTTATGAATTGGAATTATTTTCGCAAATTTTAATTGATCAGGAAAGACTCCATTTTTAAAGAAAGATTAAATGTAAAGAAAAGTGGTGACTCTATAATATCATAGACTGCTTTCACAACATTTGAACTAACATCATCAAGACCAGCGCTTTTATTCGTTTGAAGTGTGTTAAAAGCTAAGATTTGTTACTTGGAGAGATTTCACTGGCTAATTTGTTCCCAATGTTTATAAAAAAATTATTAAGTTTCCCAGCAATTTTTTTCTTATCAAAAATCTCAACATTATCCTCTGTTTGAAGTTGTTTGGGAATGTTGTTAAATTTAGTTTTTTTTTACCAATTATTTCATTTATTATAGCCCAAGTCTTTTTAGGATTTCCTAACGCTTTATACGGTAAACTCGAATAGAAATTTTTTTTTGATTGCTTTTTTAATTTTTCGAAATATTTCTTGTAATTTTTATATTTCGTTTCGTTATTATAGGTTGGTTTTTTTAAAAATTTTTCGTAGAGTTTGTTTTTTCTTTGATGATTTTAAAAGTCCTTTCGTCATCCAGGGGTTATGCACATTTTTAGATTTTATAGTTTTTTTAATTTTAGGGAAAGCTTTGTTATATTGTTTAGTAAATACACGGATAAAAAAATCATATGCTTCACATGCATTATTACAATCTTTCAACAGTTCCCAATTAATTTCTTGCAAAAGTTTTCGAAAATGTAAAATTGAGTCATGGTTAACTTGCCTTATATATACTGATAAGGGTTTTTTTTTATACAGCTTTCAGCATTTATTGTTAAAAAAATAGGGAAATGGTCACTAATATCTGTTTTTATGATACCACTCTTTAATTTCGAGTTTCTGAAGTTATTAGTAATAATATTATCTATGACAGATGATGTTTTATGAGTAACACGTGTTGGTTTGTTGATCGCGGAAAAAGCATTAAATTGAGAAAGGGTATTTATAAAACTTTTAACGTTATTATCTTTGTTAAAATTCGTTAGATTTAAATTAAAATCTCCAAGTAAGTAAATTTTTTTTTTTTTTCCAGTTTGAATAAATATTTTGGTTATTTTTGGTTTTCAAATTGTTTATAATTGCCGTTTGGTGGTCGATATACAACTGTTACAAACGCATTTTTTTCTTTGAGATTAACTATCTCTTTTGATAACGATTCGCAATGTGAGTCGTTAACTTTTAAGTTATCGATTATTTTGTACGTAAAGGAATTGTGTATAAATATGCATATGCCACCACCAATACCATTTTCCCTTGGTTGGTGAATAGAATTATAATCTTATAATTGAAAATTAGAATTAAATATATCTTCTTTTTGACACCAAGTTTCAGTAAGGCAGATGACACTAAATTTAAAACTTATGTTATTTAGCATCAGTTTTAAGTTATCAAAGTTTTTGTTTATGTTTCTAATGTTAATACTTAGTAATGACATGTTAAATGATGAAAAAAAGCTTGCAACTTCGTGGACATTGAAATAATTTGTTTCGATGCAAATATTGTCGAAGAGGTTTGTGTCAGAAATAATGTTGTTAGTAGAATGTTGTGAGTTATCGCTTAAAGAAATATTTAAACTGTTTATATTATTAGTTACCCCCATTTAAAAAATATTATTATAATTTTTTTTAAAAAACTCCACATAAAAAGTTTTATAGAAAGAAAGATATTCGAACGTTTAAGGGGAAAAAAAAATATATATATATATATATATATATATATATATATATATATATATATATATATATATATATATATATATATATATATATATATATATATATATATATATATATATATATATATATATATATATATATATATATATATATACTTATTAAAACGAATAACGAACCACAGTCTGTTTTATTAATAAAACAGACTGTGAGACTATTTTAGAACAAATAACGGTTTATAGATATAATTTACAAAACGGCAAAAAGATTATAGTAAATTCTATTTATAGAAAATTTGCTGGTATTTTAAAAGAAATTAATAAAATTCTATCCTTTGTGTAATATTTAAAAAATTTAAACAATCAGTGGATCATAAGCGAAATATCAACAAAATACTTGTATTAAAAAAATAAACACTTTTCATGATGTGTAATACAAGTAAATAATACTATCAAATAAGAAACATTTCAAAAATGCTCAGCAAATAAGTTTTAAATATAGTGTTGGTCCACCTTTAGTTAATTAACTCGCACTATATCTGCTTTGGATGGTGCTACCAATCTGCGATGATGATCTAGATAGTGATAGTTTTTTTGAAATTCCAAAAATCTCAGAAAAGTTGCTAAACCTCGAGAAAAGCTAGTTTATGATTATTTTCTCGAAACTTGTCATTTGTTTCATTTCTTGTAAACCGGAATTTTTTACGGTAAACGCCGGTCCTCGACTTATGTGATTTTTTTGTTCATTTATTTAGCCGTGCAAATATTTACAAGTTCCGTGTTTTATAATCAGGGCCGGCGATAGGGGGGTGCATGGGGTGTCATACCCCCCTTAAAACTAAATCTTAGTCGGCGCAAATAAGGCCGTTGGCAAAAGTCGATATGCAGTCGGCAAATTTTAAAAATCGAGGACCTTTTTTTTTTTAAGTCGGCAAAAATTGTGATGGCCCCCCCTCCCCACACACACACGTCGTGACACACTCGCACCGGCCCTGTTTATAATATATATATAAAGATGCCAAGGACGAGAAGAAGACAGGTTTGCCTTATCGCTAAGTCCCTTGTTTTTTCCAGACATTTATATAAATACGTTGTAACTAAAATTAAAAATTAAAAATAAGAGAAAAAAGCAAAATGTTTCAAAAAAGTTTATATAAAATGCAAAATAGTTTAATAGAGTCTTTCAAAGTTATTTTTAATAAAATTTAAGGAAGTTATTTAGTCACAATAACATGAAGGTTACCTTACGGTCATGCAATGCTTATATTTAATATATATTCATATTTCAAAGTTATTCATTAAAAAAAAAAATTTTAATTCATTAAAGAAAACAAAATCCAGCAACTTAATTTTTATTAAGATGGAAATGAAAATAATAATCAATCAAACTAATATTAGTGCAATAATTTTTTTTTTTCATTAATATGTTCAACAGAGTATGGCCGAGGGGGCTACTCCAGTTGAGCAGGCTATTCATATTTTTAGAATTTTATTTTAGTCCCATAACTTCAAAGTACAAATCTAACAAGACCGCTACGCCTAGAAACAGGCTACGACAGTAATAAAATAATAATAAAAAATTTAAATAGTTCAATAATAATAACCAATATATTATAACATTATTACAATAAAAAGGGGAAAAAAACATTAATAAAATAAGGGAAAAAAAATAAAAAGATAAAATACACACCAATAAAATAAAAGGTTATTAAATAACGTTGATTGAAAAAATATAGAGACAAAATGATAAAATATACATTAATATAAGAAAATAGGGGAAAAACGTAATTAAAATAGGAATTCTCATAAATATAATTGTTATTTATCTTTTAAAAATAGTAATATAAAATATCTATAACACTATTGGCTATTCAATAAAATCCTATTTAATAATATTTAACAATAGGGTTATGATATGCGCCACAATGATTAGCGCCACAACTTCATTTCACAGATTTCACTGCGGAAAATACAGACAAAAACTAAATTTAAAAAAAAAAAAAACTTATTTATGTTTCCATTCACCGCCACATGAAGTAAAACATCCATTCACCGCCACATGAAGTAAAACATGAACAAGCAAAACAAAAATAAATGTTTAATGGCATATTATATTAAGAAAAAGTTTGATTACCGCTAGCAATAAAAGGATCTATAGATTTTACTTCGTAAACGCTTGCGTTATCTGGGGTGCATTTAACTTTTTAAAAATTTTTATTAAGATTTGATTTAAAAACAAATCTAAAAGTAAAATAAATTTTTTTAAAAGACCTTTCATTCTTGATATTCATTACTTTATGCTACCCTAATTTGCCGATTCTGTATGCAGTAATTTATCGAATCTATATACCCTAATTAACCGAATTTGTACGCCGTAATTTACCAAATCCATATCCTATAATTTTGCGAATTTATATGCATTAATTTATTGTTACAAAAAAAAATATTATAAAATTTCAAATTGTGAAGAAAGTTATTAGGTTTTATGAATGATGTATTTTTATAAAAAAGTGTTGGGCTATCAACAAAATGAGTGAATTAATAAAATTTATAAATGTACGGTCAGTAGTGTTGGTAACTAATAGTAAATAATGCGGTGAATTTAAAAGTGATGGGTAAATTTGTGCTTTTTAAAAAAAATAACCAAGTTTAACAACTTTTTTAAAAGAAAATTATTTTCAATATTCTAATGAAACAACGCATTTTTCTAAATTTTATATTTTTATAAAAATAAAAAAATATATAATGAAAAATATGGGCGATGAAGCTGAACAATGCGTTAAAGTTAAATTGTTATAGAGTTTTATAATAACAAATGATGACCCCGTTCTAACGTCTCATAAATAATTATCTATTAAATTTATTTATTAAAATGAATATTTTCCAAACCTGTTCATGAAAATTTTCAGTGGATTGCTTCTGAAAACTTGACATCCTACCTTGCCATGGAGTGATTATTTTATTTATAAGCTGTTTGGAACATGCATATATATATATATATATATATATATATATATATATATATATATATATATATATATATATATATATATATATATATATAAATTACAAAATCTGTGTGCAGTAATTTATTGAATCTATATACCCTAATTGACCGAATCTGCATGCGTTAACTTATCAAATCTAATATCCACTAATATGTACTAAATCTTATGCACCTACATATTAACAAATATTACAAAGACCATAATATAATATATGTAAATATAAAATGTTTAGGCGAATCGTACAAAGTTTCCCATTTTGTCTAAATTTTATGCATAAAAGAAATCTAAATCAGTGTTGAAAACAGTTTTCTCTTTTCTATAACTGTTTTTGTTTTTTAATTAAAGATTAATTTTATTTTTGATTATGTTAAATCTTATATTTCCTTCCACTTATATACATGTATTTTTCTTGCTTGCTTTTATTTAAAAATATGGCAGGTGCGTTTTATCCCAATTAAATAAATTAATGATTTACTTCTTAACCAAACGATCAAGCAAAAATGAATCATTTTTTATTGATCGACCGTCGTTTTTTTAACATTAAAAAGTAAGTGTGACGTCTGAAACAAGTGTGAACCTTTAATAATTGACGCGCTTAAAAAGTAAAAAAAACTATTGTAAAAAATATTTTGAAATTCTTCTTCTTGTGATGTCTTGATAAAGTCTTTGCTAAACGTTTTTGTTTATTAAACAGTTTGTTCTTTTCTATATTTCTTCTAAAAATAAATCATCAAACTTAAAAAGATATATTACCTAATGCAAAATAGACCATTTATATGCAAAAAATGTTTGGATTTAAACTTAAAGAAATATCTTTGTATTTGAATATAAAATATGTTTAAGTTTTGAAGTAAGTATGCTCAACAGTATATAAAGCAGTATTGTATGATGTTTTATGTATTGAAGTGAGTATGTAGGCCAAAAAAAATAAATAGTTGCAGACATCAAATGACAGTCAATAACATCAGAGTTTACAACAGTTTATAACAGCGTTACGCCTTTGATTATAAATATTTTTTTTGGTTTTTTGCAATTAGTCAACAACAAAGTTGTGATCCGTTTGTTTGATCTTATACTCTATATGCGTCAGCAACGGCTCTTTAAAGTTTGCATTTATCGTTGAAAACGGCCTTTGCTTCAAACAATATGCAAACTTCAATTATTATTAATTGATAATTTAGCAAATATTCTATAGTCACTTTAATATCATGACATTTTTTTCTCAAAACTGTTTCCGCTTTATGGTAAAAAACCTAGGGACATACTACTCTAACTGAAGTAGAATGCAAAATTGACAATTAGATACAAGATTTTATTTCATGAAATTCATTCAAGGACGTATTTGGGGAGAGGTGTTAGAGGGTTAGGTTTCTTTTTGAGGGAGTTTCTTGATCTCTCCATTTGGAAATTGTATTTAATAAATCTAAAATACTTGTAAAAATTATTTGAAGAGTAGTACAGATTTGTGTTTCTTAACCCATCTTATTTCACAAAGACATTTAATTTAGTCCTGGATTTTTATTTTTAAAACAAAATTTTTTTGGTTGATTCTTTCAAAAACCAGCAACTTTTTGATTGTTCCAATAGCATTTTGAAACCCTTGTATATTTGAACTCTTTGAAACTAAAAGGTTCAATAAATGGCTACTGCAAGGGGATTTTACAGCATCACGTAATACTTTTTTGTTCAAAAGTTTTTATTTAACATTACATTTTATTGCAAGCTAATGAAATTTCTTTAGAAGGACTGAAGTTTTATATCAAAATAAGTCACGTAAGTGATGCGTGATTGAACGAAACAAAAGGTAATCTAATGGCGCAAAACCAGGAAATTATGAAGGATGAAGCAAGACTTTCCAGCCTAAATCTATAATGGTTTTTCATTGAAAAATAGGTTCGAGCTTAAGGTTTTCGTGACCTGGTCCAAGCCTTTTTTCTAAGATTTCTTTATTTTGTCTCAATTGTAGCAAGTACCGTTCAGCATTAGCAAGGACTTAACAAATATTTTTTATTGGTTGGACTTTCATAACAAACCAACTTTTCACCTTGAGCAATATTTTTCCGCAAAAAATGCTATTATTCTAACTTGCCAGATGAGAACTAAAAGTGTTTATAGAATGTATTTTGTTATATTTGGACGTAACTTTTTCTGAGTTGTGTAAATGTCTTAAAACAGTTGTACGAATGCGTTAGAATAGTCGTACAACTAATTCCTAGCTGTTCAGCTAATTCTCTTGTTGAATGTTGTGGGTCTATCTCAATCAATGTTTCTAACTCGTCTGTTTCTATTTCCTGAAGCCTACCTGACCATTCCTGGTCCTCAAAATTGAAATTCCCAAAGCATTCGGTGTTTAAAACGTTTGTTTTCAAGAGAGGTTTTCTAATTTAATATATAAAATTATAACATAATATTTGAATTTTTTTCAAATAATACGTTATATTGAAATTTATTAATGTATAAAATATATTGTATAAAATATAATGTATAAAATATAATGTATAAAATATAATGTATAAATATATTGTCTGCATTTTTTTAATATTATGTATATTTCAAGTTCGTCTTGATACACATTATATATATATATATATATATATATATATATATATATATATATATATATATATATATATATATATATATATATATATATATATATATATATATATATATATATATATATATATATATATATATATATATATATATATATATATATATATATATATATATAATAATTGTGCACCAACCTAATATATAAAAATTTGAAATCCCGAAATGCGGTAACAATGGCAGTGGTATGTTTTATGCTGTAAATCTTAAAGTTGCATTATTTGGGGTAACATTATCATTAATGTTTTAACTAACAAAATAGAGAAAACGTATTGAAAATATTAACTAACAATAAACAACTTACATAATCGTTTTAAAAATCAACAGTTTCAAAAGTTTTTAAAATTCCGTTATAAACATAATTAAAAAAATTATTATTAGAAAGATATCAATTAAACTTATAGTTAGTAAGATAGCTACATTACAAATTGCGTGATAGACAGCAACTTGGAACTTGCTTGAAACTATTTAATAGTTAATGAGGTGCTTTTGTTCCTTCTGGTATAAATCCATACTGTTTTTGAACTGTTTGGTTGACTCGGAATCAATAATGTCGTCGGGAAACTTTTACCAAATTTGATTATATTTTATACTGTTATGTCAGCTGAAGAAAGTTTAAATGCAAATGAAAATTTAGTGGTTATACGAGTTGAAAATAATTGCCACCAAAAAGGAATAAATAGGCTTAAGTGAGGTAAAGTTCATCGTTTACAAAATTTATGAGATGCTTCTATGCAATTTGAAAATATGTTAAACCTAAATGAAAATATTGTGGTTAGGCGAATTTAAAATAATCCTTGAATGAACTTAATAATCAACAAGCTAGGCAAAGAAGAACGCAGTACAGCAAGAGGTAATATTATTCCAGATTATAATTACTTAGAAAGCAAAATGAATCAAATTTTTTAGCATTGTGGTGCTAAGAAATTTCCTGATGAAACAAATTTTTTATGTTTTTTAGATGTCTCTGGATAGATAACTATATAAAACCTTTGACCTTGAGTTTTATTTGCTTCATTGACAACTATTTTTGTTCTACCATGAATTATGGAGAGCCATGTTTTTTTGAATATGTGTTCAAGTTTTTCACCGTGCTAGCAATGTTAGGCCAAACCAAAATATTCACCAAACATATTGTCAACTGTATTTCAATGATCCTCTTGTAGCAGTAAATTTTAGGATGCAGCAGCATTGTAAAAATCTTGCCTATATAATTTAATGTTTCATTTGCATTTTAGAGAAAAGAGAAAAATAAGGTTAAATTTAGATCGTGCTTCTTTACATTACAAAAATAAGGTTTAATTTAGATCGTGCTTCTTTACACACATCTTACTGAATGGTTTAGATTGAATTCTGTAAATAAATGAGCACGTTGCTATAAGACATTCAAAAGGACATAAAAGAGTACGTTGCTATAAGACACAAGTATGTAGACATTCTCAATTACTTTATATTCAATAAAAAGAAATTGTAAACTGAACGTTAGACAAAGGGGTGGTAATAAGGTGGTAGTAAGAATGTATAATGCTAATCCGACCGGAGAACTATTTTTTTCTTAAGTTATTACTTTTGCAAGGACCCATGCCATGGGAGGCTGTACGTCTGCTAATGTAATAGTTAATCAAACGTTTTTGGACATAATTGCAAAATTTCATTTGTTTGAAATTTTGCAATCATGACCAGATTGACTTCTAGCCAAACTAGGCTGCAGCCTAGGGCCCCTCAAAAATTGGAGCCTCAAAATGCGTTCAAAAAATATTTGCTAGAATTTTTAGAAAGTTATTAAAAAATAGTTCTTTCACAATTGTAATGATTGGTACACAACAAATCCCTCTTTAATTGTTAACATTTTGTAAAGTTTTATTTGCAATCATTAACGATTGCAACACTAAATCCCTTGGAAGTTAATTCTGCACGAAGGAATTATAGAACAAATCTATATAAAAGGCGTAGCGCTAAACGAAAGAATTAAATAAATAAAATAAATAATAAACAATGCTAAATATACTGTATAATAGTTTTTTATTCAAAATATTTTTGAGGGACCTGAGAATTGATCAGCCTAGGGGCCCTGAGGGTTTAAACCTGATCATGTGTATAACGCAAGATGACACTGAATGGAAGTATACTCTTTCTGAGGCGGTTTTAATACGTATGCAACTTGTACAGTTATTTTCCACTATCTTAACCTTTTGTAAACCTGACAATTTTTGAAGAAGTAATTTTTTAATAACTGAGACCAATCAGTTCAAGGTTAAAAAAACTATTCAAAGTCAAGTTGAATCATTATTCAAAGTGGTTAAGTGTAACTCCTAGCATTAATCAAAGACACTTTTTAAGGCAAGTTAGTCAGTT